AAAAAAAGAAATTAAGTTAATAATTTAAAAAAATAATTTACTAGAATTAAATAAATTTTTGTAAAATAATTTACTGAATTGTTGAGTATATAATAATTTTTAACAGATATATTTTATTTAAAAATTGTGTATAGTGTATAATAAAAAATGAAAAAAAATTTCTAGGGACATAATTTATTTATATAAATGGAAATAATAAAAATCACAAAAAAAATGAATTACAAAATAATTTTTTAAAAAAAAACTAGTACAATAAATCTTGAGAGAAAAAAAAGACCCAACAATAAAAAAAAAACAAAAATTTTGAAAAAAAAAAAAGGGCTGATGTCGCTATGGGCCATAACGACGCAATGTCGCTATGTCCCATAGCGACATTAGCCTCTTTTTTTTTCAACATTTTCGTTTTTTTTTTTACCTAAAGTCGCTATATAGCGAAATCATCCTTTCTTTTTTTTAGTTTTTCATTTTTTTCTACCTCAGTTTTTTTAAAAAAAATAAAAAAAATTTGGCATTAGGTCATTTTTTTCTCTATATTTATTTTACCAGTTTTTTTAAAATTTATTTTTTTTGTATTTTTCTACATTTTTTTCCTTCACTTTTTTGTGTGTACGTTTTTTATTTATATTTCTTTCCTCAATTTTATTTTTTCGTGTGCTTTCTTTTTAAATAATTATTTTTTTGTGAATTTTTTATTTTTTTCCTTCAGTTAATTAAAATACATTTGTAAAAGGAAAAAATAAAAGAAAAAATGTCAAATATCAAATTAACTGAACGAACAAAATAAAAAAAATGCATAAAAAATAACAATAAAATATAATTTTTCAAAATAATATATAAAATAAATCTGGAAAAATTTTAAAAAAATAAAAATAAAAAAAAGGAAGTCATTATGGCCCATTGCGACTTTGTGTCGCTATGGGCCATAGCGCCTCCAGCAAATATATAAATTTTATTTTAAAAATCTTCTTTTGTTGTACAAAAATTATGAATATATTTTTAAAAATCAAATTTTAAATGAATTATATTTTAAATAATATTTTATTTCTATTAAATATTATTTTTTACTATTAAATTTAGCCATTTAAAATGGTTTTGGAGCCTATAGTGACAGCAGTTAAGTTGCTATAGGTTGTAGCGACTTCTACATAGCTAAGTTTAAGCCATTCTCAATTTAAAAAAAAAAAAATTATCACGTGGCAAGGATGTCGCTATGGTCCATAACGACATTGTACAAAATAGTCTCAAAGGTGTATATAATTTCAAAACAGCCCCATTTACGTAAATAGTTTTAGAAACTACCTTACAATGATCAATCAGCCTGGATATAGAGAATCTTTTATTCATTGATGTTCCAACATGCTGCTACTAGAAAATTCTAGTTATTATAAGTCTAAAACATTTAATAATTTTGGATGTGTAACTTAATTCTCTCTTAAATTTAAGAGTCTTTATTTAAATTTCTCACTTTTAATTGTAATTCCTTTAATTATGTTTATTTTTTATTTTTAATAATAAACTTATGAATCTTTATATTTATGATTGTTATGATCATGATGTATGTTCTTATAAATTAGGACGCTTTATCTTTTATTATTTATAAAATAAATTAGTTAACAATCGTCTAAAATTTATTATATAATGTCTTTAGTGTTAGATTGATTATATTGATAAGATATACTTAATCGATTCTCTCAATTGACAAGAAGATAATGTATTACACATTTTCTAAACTCAAACATTAAAGTGTAAAGAATTTGCATATTTAATTGATAAAAAATGATTAAATATCATCTATATATAGTCTTTTAAATTCAAAGACTAAAATATGAAGTTGGAATTAATGTGAAGTCTATTTAACGAAATGGTACAATTGACTACTAAGAATTTAATGTTAAGTTGCAATATTATAAATGAGCGGGGAAATCATAATACAATGTTCTTTCCTTGTAACGTCTTTATTATGGTAATATCTAATCGACATTAAATTTGAACATTCAACATTACAACACATATGTTTGGTATTTTGGCACGTGCATTGGTTAGGAGGCCATGCAAAAGGAGCATGTATGACCCAACAATTATTTGCCAACGAGGTATATCTTAATTTTATATCTATGATCTCCTTTTCAAGGGAATGACCGCTAGCTAATTAATTTGAAGTTTTGAACTATCGATAAGACTCCAATCCGATGGACACTAATGGGAGTTTTGGAAGTACGGATAAGGTTCGGATGCAATGCAACATAAAATCATAAATGAAGTGTCTCGAGTGTACAATTCAAAACTAACAACATATCACTTGAATAAAAAACAGCGCGCATTTTTTAAGCACGATAAAAAGAAAGCAACATTTGGTTCCCATGGTTTGCTTCAACCTGTTGCTATCATTTAATCGAGTCATGTTATTTAAAACCCAGGACTCTACACATAGAATCAAAAGCAACCATATAGTATATTGCAGGTCTCGAGAGAACTACGTACAGAACAAAACTATATGTCTATATCCAATATCCATCTAGTTTACACGTGCTGTCACATATCTTACTATAAATAAACTTGGATTTCTGTGACAGTCAAGTGCAGTGTGCTAGTTAACCTTCCAGTTGTCTTATGAATAGTATCATAAGAGTTAAGATGAAAAATATGTACTAACCTTTTTCCATTGTGGTATTATAATTCAGGAAAATAGAGAGATGCCAACGAAAAATGTGAAAAAATTAGTACTCAAATTAATAGTATATAATATTCCACATTAATAATGTGAAATATTTTCAACTCCTCACCATTCTTCGGTGTGAACTGTCGTTTTTATAAGTATATGTAAATAATATTATTGTTTTAAGTGTTTAAGATAGCCTATATCTATGACAGATAGTTTTGTAGGGGAATTATTAAGTGGAAATACTTTTTTATTATAAGAAATGAGAATAGTGAATATAAATTATTGGATGTTATTTGCGATGTCAAAAATTAAAAATAAATAAATATATATTATTTTTATAGTAGTCCACGTGACTTAATTAGTTTTTAATCTTAATTTAATTATGTAATCCACTACTATCGTTCTTAATTACACCCATAAAAAAACAAGAACTGGACTAATTATATATCCCCTATTTACACCAATGCATGTGTGTAAGTGAAAAGGTTATATAAACTTAATTTTTATATAGTTAACATAAAGATATTTACGCTCACAATTTATTATAAATTATTTTGTTTTTTAAAGTAATTATTATAAAATTAGCGATTGACTTTTACATATTAAACACCAATCTTTAACTTATATAAGAAATTTTTTAGGATTTTTTCTTTTTTTTATGAATTATTTTTTATTTTTTATCTAATTTAGCTTTTAATTATTTTAATTATTTATGAATTAAATTTTAATTTATTAAAATAAATTATTAATAAATAAAAATAATTTTATATTATAATATAAACTATTTATCATAAATTTAAAACATAATTTATATACTTAAAAATATTTATTGATATAAAATTTAAATATAATTTATTATATATTCACATGTAATATTTATTTATATATATAATTCATTATAAATTTTACATATATATAACAAACATTTAACTTATACAATCAACATACTAAAATGTTAGTTACATATAACTTAGGATACGATTGATCTAATTCCTTTTGAAGAAAACAATTGATCGTATTCCTATAGCCCCTGTTTGCTTCCACGGATTTACTATTCACGACGAAGGAAAGGCGAAGAAAAGGGGTGTTCATTTCTAGTGATTTGCAACGACGGAAAGGCGAAAAACAGGGAGGAGAGGCGTCGTGACTGTCATCGCACAAAAGCGAAGAAAAGAAAAGAAAGTCACGTATGATTTTCGCTTACCCGGAAATGCCCCTGTGTCATGCAGCAGAGGAAGCATAATCAATTATGGTTGGCCACATAATCGATTATGGCCTTGCATAATCGATTATGTTGGGGCATAATCGATTATGTGGCCAAGCATAATCGATTATGCTGGGGTATTTTCGCTTGCAGTGGAACCCAGAACGGCCCGTTCC